AATCTTTAAAAAAAAAAAAAAAAAAAAAAAAAAAAAAAGTTTTGGTTTTACTCAATTACTGGGCAAACCTCAATGAAACATTTCACAGTTAGGATAAGAATTTATACTGTATCAAGCTGATAATAGAAAAATTAATTTAAAGTGAAAAAAAAGTTAGGCTGGGTATGGTGCCCCATGTTTTTTAGTACTTTAGAGGTAGAGGAAAGTAGATCTCTGTGAGTTTGAGGCCAGCCAGGACTAAATAGTGAGATCCTGTCTCAAAATTTAAAAACTGTTTTTAAAAAGTAGTTTCCCAAATTATTTTCAGGAATTTCTGTGAATCCCAATGATGGTTGACATTATATCTTACTTTTCAATGAGAAGTAATGTAAATATTTTTACATAATTAGTCAGCAAAACTGGGGGATTGGTTAGTGTTTAAAATTTTGTATTACATTTATGTGTGTGCATGTGCATTCATGTGTACATGTTTGTCTGTGCGCCATAGGTCCATGTGTGGTCTGAGGACAACTTGTAGGAGTTGGTTCTCTCATTCCACCACGTGGGGTGACAGGGATTGAACTCAGGTCGTTAGTCTTGGTGGCAAGTGCCTTTACTCACTAAGCCACCTTGCTGGCCCATTGTTTTGTTTTTGAGACAGGGTCTCACTGTTTAGAACAGGCTGGTCTTTGATTCATGTAGCTCAGGGTAGCCTCGAACTTGTGATCTTTTGGCTTCATTCTCCTGAGTGCTGAGATTACACGCATGCAGCCGACACAGCACAATAGATTTGAAAACATTATGTGTACATGTGTGCCACAGTACGCTTGTCTAGGTCATAGGACAGCTTGTCAGTTCTTTCCTTCTAGCATGTGATTCCAGGTGATGGAACCCAGGTCATCAGCACCTTTATTCCTTGAGCCATCCTGTGGTCCCCCCTTTTTTTGTTTTTTGTTTTTTTCCAGACAGGGTTTCTCTGTGTAGCTTTGGAGCCTATCCTGGAACTCACTCTGTAGACCAGGCTGGCCTCGAACTCAGAGATCCGCCTGTCTCTGCCTCCTGAGTGCTGGGATTAAAGACGTGCACTACCACCGCCTGCCTCTTGTGGCCGTATTTTGGTTTGATACAGATCTCATGTGGTCCAGGCTAGCCTTGAATTTGTTTTGTGTAGTAGAGGCTGGACTTAAACTTATCATTCTTGTACCTCTACCTCCCAAGTGCTGAGATTAAAGGCAGGTTCCACGATTTGTTTTCTATGTATGTGGGAGCGCATGTGTGCCAGAGCACACTCATGGTGTGGTGCTTGGTTTTCTTTCCACCATGTGGGTTCAGGGGCTCAAATTCAGGTTGTCAGGCCCAATTTCCCGTTTAATGGAAAATGCTCAGGGAGAAGAGGCTATGCAAATCAAAGTTGTAGAGACTATGAAAGAATTATTTCCAGGTACCATCAGGGTCATGAGGTTAGAGGCCCTGGCTCATGAGTAGAAAAGAGACATGGTGTAAGGAAGATGCAAACCCTAGTGATCAGAGAGATCACTGTGGTCTATGCTGGGACAAATCAGGAGGTGCAGCGCCACTCAGAAGCAAGAGGAAAGTCACAGAGGGAGTGTTTAAACATTCATACAGGGGTCATTATTCTGGACTACAGGTTAGTTCAGAGGGAGTGTTTAAACATTCGTACAGGGGTCATTATTCTGGACTACAGGTTAGTTCAGAGAACAGTCCTGAAGCAGGCGAGCTCAGGGGGAAAGGTGATAGGCATGTTCAGAGCTGGGGCAAAGAGCCAGCAATTCCAGGAAGCAGAAGTCCAAATGGAAGTAAAGTCTAGTCCGCTCGTCAGACCCTAGGCATCTCCAATTCCTTCGCTCTCAGAGCCTGGATGGGATCCAGACTGCAGGCAGAGGTTTAGGTGGGGCTGTGGGTGGTCAGGAGGGCAGAGAGAAGGAAGCAGGCCCAAACTGCAGTTACATAATGATAGCACTCTCCCGTGATGTGCAAATCACATGAACCCATATGCGACACTCAAGCGGACACTGGCCTCCTCGGACACTGGCCTCAGAGGCAAATCCACCCAGAGGAAGGAGGTTCTGACCATTTCTGACCCCTGTAAGGGGTGGAAGTGCAGTACTTCCAGTTCCACAACAGCTTTGTTGACTTTTCGGACTTTTGGCTGTGGTGTGGATGATAAGAGTAGTTTACAATGGGGGTGTGTAATTGAGTGTGACAAGCATTCAACTACCACAGTGATTATCGGGTAGCCAAATCTCTCTTACCTTTCTGCTTCCTGGTACTGTTAATTTATTATTACTAGGTTGGCCAGTAATGACAACTGAGATGTCAGTAAGATTAGATGATGATAAAAGATAAAGACAAGAGCTTGGTGGAAGTGGCGAAAGCCTTTGATCCCAGCACTCAGGCGGCAGAGGCCCATGGGTCTCTGCGAGTTCCAGGACAGCCAAGGGCAACACCCAGAAACCCTGCTTCAAAAAACCACATAAAAGCCCAGCTGCGGCCGGGTGGTGGTGGCGCACGCCTTTAATCCCAGCACTCGGGAGGCAGAGCCAGGCGGATCTCTGTGAGTTCGAGGCCAGCCTGGACTACCAAGTGAGTTCCAGGAAAGGTGCAAAGCTACACAGAGAAACCCTGTCTCGAAAAACCAAAAAAAAAAAAAAAAAAAAAAAAAAACCCACATAAAAGTCCAGCTGCGGTGGCACACGCCTTTAATCCCAGCACTCGGGAGGCAGAGCCAGGCAGATCTCTGTGAGTCTGAGGCCAGCCTGGTCTACAGAGTGAGAACCAGGACAGGCACCAAAACTACACAGAGAAACCCTGTCTCGAAAAACCAAAAGATAAAAACCCGTATTAAAAAAAAAAAAAAAAGGATAAAGACAGAAATGAGAAGATAGATGGGAGAGCAGGAGGAGGGAGTGAGAACAGTCAGAATATAATGGATTAGATACAAGTGTGAAGAAATGTTAGCAGCACTCAGTGCATGTCTGTAATCCCAACACCCCAGAAGTGCAGGCAGAAGAATTAGTTCAAGGTGATATGCAGGATAGACAGCTGGTTGCTAGCGAGTCTGGGCTTTATGAAACCCTTTTCAAAGAAAAAAGGTGTGGCACAACAGTTCAGAGAAAGCCAAGCATGGAGGCTCATGATCAAGACGGAGGCAGGAGCCTCTTCAGTTTGAGAGGCCAGCCTGGGCTATAGAGCAGAAACCTTGTCACAAAAACAAAACGTCCATAGAACATTCCAGGAGATACGGGGTGAATTCCACAGTGGCCTGCTACTCCCCCCCCCCCCCATTTATTTAGGAGGCATCTACAGAGTAGCTGAACTTTAAAAACAAACAACCTAAAAACCAGGGATAGACTTCGTTTAGTTAGGGGTTGCTAACTCCCACCTACAGGGCAGTGCTCGGGAAGATGAAGTATCTTAAAGATTAGTTGGTTCACAAGACTGACTTGAAATAGCTTGAGAATTCTGTTTTTAAAGTGCCGCCGTCGTACAAAGACAAAAGAGGTTGTTAAAACGATCAGAAAAGGCGAGGGTGGAGGAAGGTGGAATTATCCAGTCACCCTACTTCTACATCTGTCATATAAACTCGTTCCTCATCCTTGCTATTATTTTCTCCAGGTTGTGCCTATCGCTCAGTAAATAGCTAAATGTGAGTGCACGTCAGGGGCGGTGTTTCTTGAGAAGTGGAGTAGAGAGAGAGCCATACAGGACTCTCAGAGTCCAATTGCTCAAGCACAAATGACCAATGCAAACAGACAAGCCTTCAACGTAGTTCTTCCAAACTTCTGGGTAGTCTCTGGAGGGGATTTCTCCCTTCCGGTTGGACAGAATTCCGACGTCCTCAACGGCAGTTACCATTTCTAAGGCCCGCGGCCTCAGCAGCCTCCCCCCGGAGCACATTCCCTTGGCCGGGGCAGGTCTCCACCCCCTCGCGGCCACCGGTCCCCGTGTCTCCAGCCTCGTCCCCATCCCCCAGCCTCCCAGCCACATTGTGAGCACTCGCGTCCGTCCGCTCGCAGCCCGGCTCCGGCTCCGGCAGTCCCAGGGCTGCAAGCCAGTCTTCTCCTCCAGCGCGGCTGCACGTGTCCGTTCCCTGGGGTGGGGGAAATTGCTCTTCCCGCTAGGCTGCTGATTGGTGCCTCCCCCCCCCCTACTCCACCCTTCCCGCCACACTCTCCCCTCCATCCTACTCGGTTCCAGCCTAACCAGCCCCGCCACCTTCTTCCCTGGGGAGCCAAGAGGCACTTTCCGCGCTCCTCCAAGGCCCGTTCTCCGCTGGCAATCAAAGCGCCCGAGAACAGGTGGAGAGCGCTCCGCTTCCCGGGGCCTCCGGGCTCCAGCGTGGACACCCCAATCGCCCGCTCGCCCGCCCGCCCGCTCGCTCTCTCCGGCACCACCCTCCTCCGCAGCAGGAATAACCGAAATCCCACACGTGCGCACTCCCGGAGCTAGCCCCGAGCGAGAGCACCACCCAGCGGGCCCTTTAAAAGGACTCGACCACTGGGGCCACGTGGGGGTGGGAGCGACCCTCATTGTCTCCCGTCACCCAAGTCGCCCAACTCCCCGGCCCCAAACACCTGCACGGCGGAGCTCGTCCGTCTCCCCCCCCGCCCCGGGCCGCCCGCGGGCGGCGCGCGCGGCCCCCTCCGCGTCGCGCGCGCTACCCCTCCCGGGGCGCGGCCGGCCCGCTCCCCTCCCCCTCCCTCAGTGCAGCTGTCCGCGCAGGGGTGGGGGCGGGGTTGTTGTTGTGGTGCGCGCCGGCCCCGCCCCCTCCTCGTGGGCGGCCCCTCCCCCAGGCTTCGGCTGGCCCCCCCCCCTCCCCACCCCCAGCCCCATCTGTTTTCCTCGGCGCTGAGTGGATTATATTGTATGGGACTGGGGGCGGCCGCACGGCCGCGGCGGGACGGGGCGAGCGCGCGGCCCCCGCCGGCTGCCGGAGCAGCGGCCGCTTCAGCGACTCGGCCCGCCGCCCCCCCCCCCCGCCCGGCGCGCCTCAGCCTGTGCTCACGCCGAGCGGCGGGAGCCGCCGCGCGCTGAGAGGCGCTTGCCCGTGGCCGGAGTCGGAGCGAGGGAGAGCGGGCGAGCGGGCGGGCGGGCGGGCGAGCGCGGCGGGGAGATGTGCCCGGAGGAGGGCGGCGCGGCCGGGCTGGGCGAGCTCCGCTCCTGGTGGGAAGTCCCGGCCATCGCGCACTTCTGCTCGCTCTTTCGCACGGCGTTCCGCCTGCCCGACTTCGAGATCGAGGTGAGTGGCGGGCGCGGCGCCCCTTTCTCCGCGCTTCTCCGCGGGGAGCCGCGGGCCGCCGACTTGGCGCGGAGAGCGGGCGGCGAGGGGCGAGGGGGCTCGGCGGCGGGCACGAGGCGGCCGGCCGGCACGGGCTCCCCGCCGGCCCCGCGCGCTCTCGCCGGCGGGGGTCGAGCCTGCTTTTGTCGGCGCGGGACCCGGGGGCTCTCCCGGGACTTCTCGGGCGGCCCGAGGGCGAGAGTGCGCGCGCGCTCCCCGCCCGCCCGGAGCTTCGGAGGCGGCGAGCAGCTGTTCAGGCGGGGACGGGGCCGGGGCCGGGGTGCGGGCGCACGAGCCGGGGGGCCACCGCGGCCGGGCGGGAGCGGCCCTGGGCAGGGTCGGCGTTGCTCGGGAGACGCTCGCCCGGCTCGCACTTGGCCGACTTGGGGAGGCCGGTAACTCTTCGGCGCTTCCAGTCAACTTTGGGCGGGCGGGGATGGGGCCTGAGCTTGGGGCGGTCTCCTGGTGGGACCGCCTGGCGCTCACCGTCGCTCGGGACGCCGAGGCTGTGGAGGAAAGTTTGGGACACCCCACTCACCCCCCCTCCCTTTTTAAAAACAGCTCCTCTTCTGAGGAACTTGCAGTCCTCTATGTTCGAGGAGCTCGCTCGCTGCTCGCTGAGTTGATTTCGCCACCATTATTCCCCCCCGGGCGAGCGAGGAGGAAAGGGATGGCTTTCTGGCCAGGCCGAAGGTGCTTTTCAAGACCCGAGGCTTTGTGATAACTGGACTGAAATCGGAGGGTCCGAGTGGCAAGGACAGTGGCGGGAGTGTGGGAAACGGAACGTGTAAGATGTCCCAAAGCAGCAGCAGCAGCAGCAGCAGCAGCAGCAGCATCTCGTCTTTTCTTTTTGGATGGAGGTGTGAAATGTATGATGGGTTGGCAGGTTGATTTCTTTTCTGTGATAATCTGTGTTGTGACTTAACCACCTTTTTCCTCGGGACAAAGGTACACGGAACTGTTGGTCAGTTTATTGTTTCCAGTTCTGTGGATGGCTTTACAATTGAAATAATCGAAATTAAAGTAATTTAATTGGAGGGTCTGGCCGTTGTGATCACCTCTCCACCCCCATGAACCTTGCTTTTAATTTGGTGACTCCTGAGGTTTTTGCTCACCTTTGTTTTTAAAGTCAGTTGTGTTTGCAGAAATATTATTTGCATTCTCCTATGAATGAAGCGTGGGAACTTGCTCTTGTTGCAGAGTTAATGAAATCGGAAAACTAAAACGGTCACAAGAGCTGGGTTAGGAGAATGAAGGGGAATGTAGACTGAAACCAGGGCCACTCGTTGGCTTTTGGAGGTACTCTATAAAACAATGTGAGTAGGTTGGTAGGTTCTCCAGGTCGGGGGCTTCTCCACGTTTCAGGAAAATGTAACTTGGGAATTTAACGAAACCTCAAAGCGTTTGTTTACAAAGTTTGAACATGGATGTAAAGAACATTTTTGTGATGAAATTTTTTAATGATATCGGACTACAAAGATAACGATTTGAGGAATCTTAAAGGGGAAGGGATGCTTAATGATTCTGACGTCCTCTGTTTCCTTTTAGTTGGTTTGAAATCCTGAGTAGTCTAATTAAATCCTGCTGCTCAAAATGGTGGCTGCCGTGTGGGGTATTGCTTGTGACAGTGCCATATTGGGTTGCTGGTAAACTTGTCCCCAGCCCCTTTTCTTTCTTCCAAGAGAAAGTAAGTGGATGTGCCAGATTACAAATTGAGTGCATTTGAAGAACACTACCGTTGGGGAAAAGGCCACCTTTCCAAGTCCTTGTTTTCCCATTTTGTTGATAGAAAAATAGAGGAAACTCATTTTGCCTTAATTATACTCATCATATTTAGAGTAACCTATAATTTCTATCCTAAGTAGTAAACTTGAGGTTTCTCAGTATTAGATGGCCTAATTCCTCTAGGCAATGTAAGCACTTACTGTCCTTCACATGGTGAATAATCAGGTCTACTTGACATAGTGTCTTTTAATTCTAGTGGTTAAAAAAATGTGTGGGTGTTCCTGTGTCAGGGAGTGCTAGTGGAGGGCAGAGGACAGTTTGAGGGAATTGGTTCTCTCCCTCCATGGGAGAGCCCCAGGAATCAAACTCAGGTTGCCCTCAGGTTGTCTGCCACCAAGCCTGACTTCACAGGGAGTCACCATCCCTGTCCCTGATTCTAGCGTTTCTTGGAAGAGACATTTTGTTAGTTAAAGTGTATGTATGTTACTTAAAAAACATTCAACACATTAATATCCTGATTCCAACATGTACATATTTTAAATACCATGAAACCTTTTCCCCCTCCCCTATGGAGAAGATCATTAAACATGTAACAAATTATAATGACTTTCCCCTCCTGTATTTAATTCAGGGTTTTGAATAGTTATCAAAAGATGAACTATCTAAAATTCTAATTTCTAAGAAGTTTGATTTTGACCCATCAACAGTGCAGAATTCCCCAGACACCATCAGTAAATTTTGTTTTTGTTTTTCTTATGTGATTTGAAAACATCAACTAGTTTATTGGTTAGGTTTACAGTGCAGTGTTAGACCTTCTCTTAAAGTAAAAATCTGTCAGTGCTGAGCTGTATCTACCTGGTGGGCATGTGGAAAGACCCTGTAGTTCTAATTACACCTTGAAAATCTAGAAATGAGGAATATAAACTACCACATAGTCAGAGTTGGACATCATTCCTTTAGGAAATCAGTTTTCAGTTGTGTGAAAGATCTAATTTTATTACCCGTTTCTCCCAGGCTGAATCCTTGGATTTATAGCAAATTTAGGAAGCAGAATCCTTAAGGACTTGGTTTCTATCCAAAATGAAGCAATCTCTCAGCTGGGTGAAAGACTCCAGGATTCTTGTTGCTGTTCTGTGAGAGGTCAAGACCTCCCACTTAGAGAACAGGTCCCTAAAGTAGGGGTGTTTTTATTTTTGCATGTAAAAATATTTTTGTACTGTTAATTAACCTTAAACAGATTGTTTCTTTAAAAGAGTCAACGTACTTGACTTTGTGTGTGTGTGGTGCTGGAGATGAACTCAGGGTCTTTATAACATGCTTGCTAGTCAGGCACTGTTATCACTGAGCAGGCTTTCCCGGCCCTTTTCTTTTTCTTCTTCTTCTCCTCCTCCTCCTCCTTTTTTTTCAAGACAGGGTTTTTCTGTATTCCTGGATGTCCTGGAACCCCCTCTGTAGACCAGGCTGACCTCTGCCTCCTAAGTGCTGGAATTAAAGTCATACACCACTACACCCTGATTTTTGCTTTTTTTTTTTTTTTTTTTTTTAGCACCCTTAAATAATGATTCTAAAGTAATCAGAACAAAAATCAGAGGATACTATAACAATGCTTTCAGTTGTTCCAGATTTTTAGTTGTTTTAGATAGGAGTATATGTAGCCCAGGGTTGAGCACTTGCTAGAATACCCAAAGTTGCCATAATCCCCCCCCCCTTTTTTTTTTTTTTTTTGGTTTTTCGAGTTGGGTTTCTCTGTGTAGCTTTGCGCTTTTCCTGGACCTCGCTCTGTAGACCAGGCAGGCCTCAAACTCCAAAAGATCCGCCTGCTTCTGCCTCCCGAGTGCTGGGATTAAAGGCATGAGCCATCACTGCCTGGCATCCCCTGGTTTTTAAAAACAATACATGATTATTATATAAAGCTTAAGTTTTTGCAAAATACAAATAAAAGAATTAAAATAACTCAATCACCAATTGGTTTTAGGCATACTCAGAAATGGTCCCTCCTAGGACACAGCCAGGAATCATCTAGCCTGAAATCCCCATGTTACAAATCTGGAACCAAAGTAGTCTTCCTAAAATCACAACTTTATGTCAAGGGCGAGGATGAACGAACCACAATCCAGGTGTCTAACACTTTTTGAAAATGTCTTCAAGAATTGAAATGCAGTAGTAGAGCTGGGCTTGGCCTGTAGGAGGCTCTAGATCCAGCAGTCTACACACTACACTTTGCCTCTGCAAACTTGTTAACATATTTAGAAATTCCTATGTTCCTGATTGGTTTGTGCTATAGATTAGGTGTGGCTTTTATTTTTCAGAAGAGGCTAGGGTGTAGTTAGACATGAATAGATTAAAGACATTGCATTCAGTAGTTGGTTATCATTAAATACTATATGTTGTTTTTTGATGTAATGGGACTGAACCCAGGGTTTTGTTTAACACATGCTGGGCATTGAGCTACAACCAACCCTACCTAGCCCTTATTTATTATTGTTTTCTAAGAGTCTCACTCTGTAGCCAGGGTTGGTGGATTTAGTAAGTAGCTAAGCACGCTTTCTATCCCAGTGCGGCTTCCCTAGTAGTTTGGGTTATAGGCATATAACCCATTATAGGCATATAACCCATCTAGTCATCAAAGCAGCTTATAGCTGGCCTCCTTTGGCCACATTAGCTGATAATAGAATCCACAGTTATATATGATTTAGTAAAAGCCAAATATTTTGTATTTAATATTGTATTGAATTAGATTAGTTAAGTTTGTCCTGATTTGGAACAAAGATATTTGGCCTCTTTAAAGATTTAATGCTTGCTCTAAACTGAAGTAAGGCAAGGGAGGACATAATGGTTTTCCATAACCTTATAGAGCAGCAACTCTTGACCTGTGCATAGGGTACGATTTGGGGTCACCTCATAAGACCATTGAAAAACACAGACATTTATATTGAAATTCCTAACAGCAAAATTAGTTATGAAGTAGCAATGAAAATAATTTTGTGGTTGGGGTGTCATCACAACATGAGGAACTGTATTAAGGGGTCTCAGCATTAGGAAGGTTGAGAACCACTGTTATAGAGAGCTGGGCAGAGCTGGAGTGGTCCCTCCAAGTAGATATTTGGAATTGTTTACATGGATTTGAGTGATTTGTATAGTAGCTGAAGTCTGATCAAATTAATTTAATTGTTTCTGCCTACCTTTCTTTCCTGAGATCCTTGCTTTTTTTTTAAAGGCTTAATGTTTCCTGCCAT